GTGCCGTCGGCCAAGCAGTGTCGGCTGGCGACCCCCAGGGGGAGGGCCTTCTCTGTGGGTGCCCCCGCCCTCTGGAACGAACTACCCCCTGAGATCCGGATGATTCCGGATCTCCTTACTTTCCGCCGCGCCCTCAAGACATGGCTTTTCCAGCAAGCAGGCCTGGCCTAGGGAGGATTTTAAATCGGGTTCATTTTTTTTTTAGAAAATTTTAAACAGCACAACTCTAAAATATTTGGTCTTAATTGGTTTTATTTGGTGGGGATTGTAAATATGTTTCTGTTTTTAAGTATGTTGTGAGCCGCCCTGAGTCCCGTTGGGAGAAGGGCGGGATATAAATCAAATAAAGTAAAGTAAAGTAAGTAAAGTAAATATGGATAGTCCTCAATTGACGACCATATTTCGGTTCAAAATTTATGTTGCTCAGCAATACTGTTATTCAGTGAATTTTGCCCCATTTTTAAGATCTTTCTTGCCAAAGTTGTTAAGGGAATCACCGCAGTTGCTAAATTAGTCACATGGTTGCTAGTGAATCAAGCTTCCCCACTGATGTTGCTTGTCAAAAGGTTGCAAAAGGGGATCACACTGCAACTATCATAAATGAGTCAGAAAAAGAAGAAAAAGGAACAGGAAGAAAGGAAAAACATAAAATTAGAGAGTGGATGGATGGATGGAAAGAAGGACAGAGAAAAAGGAAGGGGGGAAGGAAAAATGTAAAATGAGAGGAAGGAAGGAAGAGTGAAAAGAGAAAAAGGAAAGGGACAGGAGGAAGGAAGGAAAAATATAACATTAGAGGGAGGGAGGGAGGAGAGGGAGGGAGGGAGGAAAGAAAAATCTAAATCACTATTATTTTCCATCCTGACAACAAGCTAGGGAATTCTGGGAGTTGAAGTCCACCCTTCTTGAAGTGACCAAGGCTGAGAAACACTTATCTAAATATACAGTACATCACAATAATAGGGAAATCCTGCGAGCTTTGGATTTCCTGAAGAAGAAAAAAAGCAATTTTCATCTCTCGAATAAGGGGCGGACAAAATGCACCTCTCAATCACTTGCACTTTTGTATGTCTCTATGGTCGGGCTCATTAAAGCTTGTAAGGCAGGGGTCCTCAACCTTGGCAACTTTAAGACTTGTGGACTTCAACTCCCAGAATTCCTCAGCTAGCTCTGAGGAATTCTGGGAGTTGAAGTCCACAAGTCTTAAAGTTGCCGAGGTTGAGGACCCCTGTGGGCGGGGCCCCGTGACTCTCCCGAGCTCGCCTCTCGATGGTGTCCGTGGCCGCTCCGGCCGCCGCCGTCTTCTCCGTGACCGGAAGTGGGCGTGGCGAGGCGTTTGTTATGATGGCAGCCCCTTCCGACGCGGCGGCGAGTCCTGAAGCAAGAGAGGCGAGGTGGGAGCGGCGTCGAGCGGTGGACTCGGGCCTCTTTCTTCTCCCGGCTTGAGCGGGCCCGGCCCCGGGTTCAGAGCAGGAGGGGAGCCGGAGTTGAGGGGGCTCGCAGGGTGCCCTTGTTGCAGCCTACCTCGCCCGGTTGTTGTGAGGGCGGTTTGGGGGTGTGTGAGGCGAAGCCAGGTCGGGTGGGGGGGAGAGAACCACCACGCCCTCCTTGGCTGCAACCAGTGCGCATGCGCGGCTTAGCTTGTCCCTGGGTCCTAGTGAGAGCCCCCCCCCCACCAAGCAGCAAAACTGGCAGAAAGTGCCCCCCCCTCCGGAAGGCTTCCAAGGGCGACCCAAAAGTCGTTTGTTCCAAGAGCATTAATTAAAAAATTAGTAGTATTAATTAAAAAAACATCAAATTGATTTGGAATTTGGCTGTGTTGTTGCTGCCTGGGTTTGTGTGGGGTGTTTTTTTTTTTTTTTTTAAAAATGGGTGTTTATTATATGGTGGGGCTTTTAAAAATGCTGTCAAGTGCCCCTCTCCCCCCCTCACCAAATCATTTATTTATTCCAAGCCAAATTATCTATTACTTAAACCAGGGCTAGGCCACCTTGGCTCTTTTATGACTCGTGGACTTCAACTCCCAGAATTCCTGAGCCAGCCATTGCTCAGCTTGGAAACCTCTTCCTTTCCCCTCAGCTCAGGAATTCTGGGAGTTGAAGTCCACGAGTCATAAAAGAGCCAAGGTTGACTACCCCTGATTTAAATTAATGGACAGATAGTCCTCTACTTACTTATTTATTTATTCCAGGCCAAATTATCTATTACTTAAACCAATGGACAGATAGTCCTCTACTTACTTACTTACTTACTTACTTATTTATTCCAGACCAAATTATCTATTTCTTAAACCAATGGATGGGTAGTTCTTGACTTGTTGAGCAACTGTTTGAAGTTAGAACAGCACTGGGAAAAAAATGGCGGTTTTTCACACGACCATGGTGGCATCCGCACGGTCACATGATCAAAATTCAGATGCTTGTAAACTGACTCATATTTATGAGGGTTGCAGCGTCCCGGGGTCACGTGATCCTTTTTTGCAACCTTTTGACAAAAGTCAGTGGGGGCAAGCCAACCCTATTGCTAACTTAACAACTGATTCTTAACAACAAGTGGTTCGCTTAGCAACTGTGGCAAAAAAAGGTCGTAATATGGGGCAGACCACGCTTAATAACTACCTTGTTTAGAACAAGAAACGTTGGGCTCAATTTTGATCATAAGTTGAGGACTACCTGTAAATTTGTTTTAAGAAATAATAAATAATTTTGGGAGATTTCAGGGTCCAAGGAGGCTGAATAGAGGTTTATTGCAACTGTCTGAATGGAGGTTATTTCAGGACAGGGAGGGAAACCAAACATTGCAGTGATACTTTGGAGCAAGATCAAAATCTTGGGCAACGTGGTGTATGCCTCATTATCTTTTTTTAACCCTGAAAGATTAGATAAAAGCAATTACTCTGCTTGGTAAGCTTTGCGGTTTGGAATCAAACTGTATCTATTTTCTTTATGGGTCTTTCATTCCTTAAAAAAAGAAATTATATCCACACTACAATTAATAAGTATCCTTATTTATTTCTTTATCGTTTTTATTATTTTTATAAACAAAGCAGAGGACGTATACAATACTCTTTATGTATTCAAGATGGACAGTGATTAATATTTATATGTTACTTATATGTAAGGGTGTAGGTCTATACCAGGGGTAGGCAGCCTTGGCTCTTTTATGACTCGTGGACTTCAACTCCCAGAATTCCTGAGCCAGCATGGCTCAGCTTGGAAACGTCTCCCTTTCCCCTCAGCATGGCTGGCTCAGGAATTCTGGAATTTGAAGTCCACGAGTCATAAAAGAACCAAGGTTGCTTACCCCTGGTCTATACATATGTTGTATATAGCATGTTTTAAATGTGTGTTATGTAACTTGAGAGCAAGCAACTAAATTTCATTTTTAATGTGTGCCGTTGTGCCCACAGGAAAAAAAATGACAATAAAGGTAATCTAATCTAATCTAATCTAATCTACTCCTTCCTCCTCCTGTTTTCCCCACAATAACAACCCTGTGAGAAGGGCTGGGCTGAGAATGACCTGCGGATACCCCGAGAAGTTTAGCTTCCAAAATAGAGGTGGTCCTCAACCTACAACACTTCATTTAGTGACTGTTCAAAATTACAGCGGCACTGAAAAAAATAACATATGACCATTTTTCATACTTATGGACATGGGAAATCCAGATTTCACTTAACAGCTCTGTTACTAACCTAACAACATCAGTGATTCATTTAACAACTGTGGCGAGAAAGGTTGTAAAATGGGGCAAAACTCATTTAACAAATGTCTTACTGAGCAACAAATTTTAAGCTCAGTTGTGGTTGTAAACCGAGGATAACCTGTACATCCACAGTATGAGGTTCAGCTTATCTGTGGGTGGGTTTATCTGCAAATATACAGATTCGTTTGTGACTGTTTGAAGTTACAACAGCACTGAAAAAAGTGACTTAATGATAATTTTTCACACTTAATGACCATTGCAGCATCTCTGCCGTCACATAATCAGAATTTGGATGCTTGGTATCTGGCTTATGTTTATGATGGTTTCAGTGTCCCAGGTTATGTGTGATCACATTCTGGTCCCATTGGTGGCAGTAAATCAGAGAGTATTGGTACTTTGGATTGCTACATTGGGCAGAGAGTTAAACCTGATCACTATGTGACCCCCCTTCTTCCTCTACAATTCAGCAACTTCTGAATTGTGGTTCTCTCCAAAGAGCCTGGTTTAGGAATGCACCATTTCAGCAGCAAATGAAGTTTTTTTCTCCCTTGTCTCAATTTTTAAAGTTGTAGTGCTCCATCTTTCTTTCAAGCTGTTACTCTGCCTTGGTGGCTTCTGTTTGTAAGCCTTTACAAATATTCCTCGGCAGTTGAGCTCAATATTTCTGTCGCTAAGCAAGACAGTTATTAAGTGAGCTTTCTCTCATTTTACGATCTTTTTTACCACAGTTGTTAAGTGAGTCGCTGCAGCTGTTAAGTTACTAACACGGTTGTTAAGTGAATCTGGCTTTGTTTATCAGAAAGTTACAAAGGGGGATCACGTGAGACCCCAGGACACTGCAACAGTCATAAATAGGAGTCAGTTGCCAAGCATTTGAATTTTGATCATGTGACCACAGGGATACCGCAACAGTCGTAAGCGTGAAAGCCGGTCGTAAATCAGTTTTTCAGTGCTGTTGTAACTTCAAACAGCCGTTAAACGAATGGTTGTAAGTGGAGAATTACCTGTATTTCTATCTGTATCAATGGGTGGAAGAGCAGCGTGGACCTGGATTAACTCAAATTCCTTTTTCCAGACTGTCCCCATGAGTTCTGCCGCGGAGGATGTCCATGATCCTCTTTGCCTGCGTGGTGCGGGTAAGGGATGGACTTCCTCTCTCGGCCTCCAGTGATTTCCACCTAGACCCCCGTTTTTTGGAATGCAGGAAGAGACTCAAGGTCCTGTCCTCCATACTGACGCAGTATCCAGAACGAGGCACAGCCAAAGAACGTGACCTCAGCATACAGTAAGTCATGCTCTAGCTTCAGACTCAAACCAGCTCGTCCTGTTTTATTTACTTAACTTTATATATTTTTTTTCTGCTGCTCTGATCATTTGAGTTCATTCTGGTTGACTTAACAAATAAGGAAAGAATGGAGAAAATCCTGTACTCGTCAAGTTATAAAAACATGTTCTGCAGATATAATCGTAAAACCATAGCACCACCTAGCATCGGACAATAGAAATTCATCTTATACAGGGAGTCCTTGACTAATTGAGCCCAAGGTTTCTGTTGCTGTATCGGATTTTCTTTAGGAATTCCCCTGCTATGAAACGCCTTCCTTTCTTTGTGCACAAGTGCGTCCCTCACTTGTGGTTCCCCGTTGTTGTACTCTTTAGAGTTGATTCTAGATCTTTTCTTTCACAGCTTCCACACTTCTGGGGGCGTCGCCTGCACCTGCATTGCCGTCAGCAGTTACCCAGCTGTGATGGCCTTCTGTTTCCTGGAAGAGCTTCGGTGTAAATTCGCCACGTCCTACAATGCCACCAGTGTCAGCCTGGCTTCCAGGCCGTATGTTTTCCTTGAATTTGGTATGTTGTTGGTTTGCCTTTTTTTTATGTCTTTCTCTTCGTGGGGAAAATTTAGCAAGTCGTTGCTGTGAGGTGCTTAATGCTCTCTGACCTTGGTTGTTTTCTTGCAGACGTTTCATAGAGTCACTTCTGGCTCTGGTTGTGTTAGTTGGGTCATGAAATAGCTGTAAGAAAGGTAACCAGCCTCAGAGACCACCAAGGACTCCACAGTCCTCCTCCTCCTTGCAAATCCCACTCTCTTCTAGCACTGATGATGTTACTTAGACAGGTCATGAAATATATTGAAGAAGCAATCCTCCTCCTTCTTCTCTCTCTCCCCCTCCCTCCCTCCCTCCCTCCCCCCCTCTCTCAACCCCACTCTCTCTCTCTCTCAACCCCACTCCCTTCTAGCACTGATGATGTTACTAAGACAGGTCATGAAATATATGCAAGAAGCAATCTTTCTCCCCCCCCTCCTCCCTCCCTCTCTCTCTCTCCCCCTCTCCCTCTCTCTCTCTTTCTCCCTCTCCCCCCACTCCCTTCTAGCACAGATGATGTTACCTACTTAGCTCATGAAATGTCTGCAAGAAGGCAACCAAACTCAGCACCAAGGACACCATAGAAAGAGAAACACAGATAAGTATGGATTAACACCAGACAAACGATGAAGCACAGAACAATACTTGATCAAGCAACTACCAAGGATAAAACCACACCCCACCAACACTGTCAGGGAAAGCTACTGTATATAAACACTCCCTCACAGTGATGATGTTACCCAAATGGGTCATGAAACATCTGTAAGAAAACTGCCTAGCTCAGAAAGTGCCAAGTCGTCGTCGTCGTCGTCCTCCTCCTCCTCCTCCTCCTCTAGCACAGATGATGTTACCTAATTGGGTCATGAAATGTCTCCAAGAAAACCACCAAGCTCAATCAAGGACCCCACAGGTCAACTCTGAACTACAAGTATTCTAATTAGTCATTGCTATGTTAAGAACCCTCCGTAATGCTATTTCTACCAGTGGTCCTTGACTTACTGTTGTTTAGCTACAACGCCACTGAACAGAGTGACTTAAAACAACCATTGCAGCATCCCCCAGTGCCATCAGAATTCAGGGACATGGTAACCAGGGTTACGATGGTTGCATCACTTTGGGATTAAGCAATCTCCTTTTCGCAGCCTTATCCAGCCGGCTTCTCAGAAGCAAAGTCAGTGGGGGAAGCTGTATTTATGTAACAATCACGTGGCTCACTTAACCGGCAGTGACTTGCTTAACAACCGTTGCAAAGAAGGTCGAAGAATTGAGTGCAACTGACTTAACCGCCTCCTTGCTTAGCATTGAAAATTCTGGTCTGTGGTCGCAAGCTGTCAGGTGGTGGTTGAGCCTTTAATGATCACTTCGGTTTTCTCTCTGAGGATCTGTCCCTAACCTGACCTTTCAGGTTTTCTGGAAATAAAGATTCAGGCAGTCCTCAACATACGACAGTTCGTTTAGTGATTGTTTTGAAGTTACAACAGCACTGAAAAAAAGTGACTTACGACCGTCTTTCACACTTAGGACCGTTGCTGAGTCCCCCCCCCCCATGCTCATAGGATCAAAATTCAGATGCCTGGCACCTGACTCATACTTATGACAGTCGCAGCATCCCAGGGTCACATGATCCACTTTTACCATCTTCTGACAAGCAAAGTCAGTGGCTGTTCAAAATTACAGTGGCACTGGAAAAAATGACTCAATGACCATTTTTTCACACTTACATCGCAGCATCCCCGCGATCATGTGATCAAAATTTGGCTGCCTGGTAACTGATTCGTATTTATGAGGGTTGCTCTGTCCTTGGGTCTTGTGATCCCTTCTTCTGATGAGTAAAATCTGTGGGGAAGCCAGATTCACTTAACAACCATGTGACTAACTTAACATCTGCAGTGGTTCACTTAACAACTGTGGCAAGAAAAGTCTCAAAAATGGGGCTAAACTCACTTAACCAATGTCTCACTTAGCAGCTGAAATTTTGGGCTCCATTGTGGTTATAAGCCGAGGACTACCTGTAATCTCCAGGTGTGGTTCGACCCTACGCAATACCACAGCTCCAGTGGGTGGGATTCAGCCGGTTCGCACCGCTTCGGCAGAACCGGTAGCTAATTTTTGGTTGCCCAGGCCCAGAACGGACTTCCGGAAGCGGCATCCACGCAGAGAACCGGCTGCTCACCTATCTGGATCCCACCACTGCTCACAGCTCCCTCGGTGGGCCCTAGCGAAGCATACATCAATATTCTCTTATTTTTAGAGAAAGCTCTTCTTGCTTCTTTGCCGCAGACAGTGTCGTCCAGAAAACCAAAAACCAGTTCAATCACACCAACTGCGCTCAGCCAAAGATCGACGTGGCAAAGATGCAGGAGGACCTCCGCTTGCGACCTCCCGCCCTGGTCACCTGGGAAGACATGGAATTGATGAACGGGATAGTGAACGGCCGGGCGGAAGCTGACCTGGAGACAGGTGAGTTATCCTACACTGGGATGAGGTTTTTTTTCTGTTCGTCCCGTCGCAGGTCGAGAGCCGCAGAAATGGGTGGCTTGGAGAAAGTACGCAGAGACAAAAAGGTGTTTTAATCCCTAATCCCTAATTTAATCTAATCTAGCAAAGGTCTGTGGAGATTCTCAGTCATCCAGATCATAGTTATCCGAAAGGTGCTTTTTTTCAGTAGGCAACTGGGCTTTCTTGTTTTTCCTTTGAAGATGTTTCGCTTCTCATCCAAGGAGCTTCTTCAGCTCTGCCTGGATGGTGGGGTATGGAAGGATTTATGTTTCTTGCAGACAGCTGGTCATTTGCCTTTTAGAGGGTCGTTGAGGCCACTTGGAGGCTTATCTGTGTCCTCGGGGTCAGCTGAGTAGCGACATCCTCTATTTCCAGTCCACAACACAGTCTTTTCAACAGTTCCAAGAAGGCTCCACACCCATTTGCACCACTCAGGTGACCCTGCGGACACAGTTACGCCTCCAAGTGGCCTCAAAGACTCTCTCAAAGAAGGCAAATGGCCAGCTGTCTGCAAGGAGTATAAATCCTTCCATTCCCCACCATCCAGTCAGAGCTGAAGAAGCTTCTTGGGTGAGAAGCGAAACGTCTTCAAAGAAAAACAAGAAAGCTCTGACCGGATGGTGGGGGACGGAAGGATTGATACTCCTTGCAGACAGAATATAAATCCTTCCATCCTCCCCTATTCAGACAGAGCGGAAGAAGCTTCTGGGATGAGAAGCGAAACATCTTCAAAGAGAAAAAATAAAGTCCAGTTGCCTCCTGAAAATGCATCTTTGCGACTAATATAACAAAACATCAGAAAAAAAACTCTGCCGTAATTCACTCATTTATAAGAGGGGTTGTTACCCTTATCGCTGGATAATAATGAAGGGAAATAAACAGTCAGCTTCAAATATTCTGTTAACTTTAAATATTCTGTGATTTATGAACATTTTTCACGCTTACGACTGCTGCTGCATTCCCGTGGTCACATGATCAAAATTAAGATGCTTGGCAACCGATTCATATTTACGACGGTTGCAGCATCCCGAGGGTCACGTGATCCCTTCGTGACCTTACGACAAGCAAAATCAATGGGAAACCCAGATTCACTGAACAATTTTGTTACTAACTGAACAACCGCAGTGATTAACTTAGCAACCGCTGCGATTAACTTAACTTGTGGCAAGAAAGGTCGTAACATGGGGCAAAATTCACTTAACTTGCTTAGCAATGGAAATTTTGGGTTCAGCTGTGGTCATAAGTCAAGGATTATCTGTGCTTTTCTGTTCCTCTAACCCAGTGCTTCTCAGTCAGCGGCTTTTAAGATCTGTGGGTTTTAATTCCCAGAATCCCCCAGCCATTTGCTTTGGTAATTCTGGGAGTTGACGTCTCCAAATTGTATAGGTGGTCCTCAACTTACGATGGGTTGCTTAGCAACTGTTAAGAATCCCAGTGCACGTAACGACCGTCACATTATCCTCCGTCAGGTAATCAAAATTCAGGGGCTTAGGAACGGGCGTGTGTTTATGAAGATGGCGGCGTCCGAGGGTCACGTGCTCTCCCTTTGCGACCTTCCCAGCCGGCTTCTGACAAGTCAGTGGTAGGAACCAGATTCACTTAATGACTGTGCGACTCACTTAACAACTGCAGGGATTTGCTTAAGAGCCATGGCAAAAAAGCTAAAATCGGAAACCAGTCACTGAACAACCTTGCTTGGCAATAGCCATTCGTGGTCATGTAAGTCAAGGACTACCTACACAGATAGTCCTCGACTTACGACCATAACAGCCCAAAATTTATGTCGCTAAGTGAAACATTTACTAAGTGAATTTTGCCCCATTTTACCACTTTTCTTGCCAGAGTTGTTTTCTTGGTGCAGTTGTTAACTTAGCAACACGGTGGCTAAGTGAGTCTGGCTTCCCCATTGATTTTTAATTTTGAGGTGCAAGGAGGCAAAATTCATGTCCACTTTTTGTCTAAAATATTGTCTAATTTCAGCAGGTCACTAGTTAACAGTACAGGTAGTCCTCGACTTATGACCATAATGGAGCCCAAAATTTCTGTTGCTAAGTAAAACATTTGTTAAGTGAGTTTTGCCCCATCTTACGCCCTTTCTTGCCACAGTTGCTAAGTGAATCACCGCAGTTGTTAAGTGAGTAACACGGTTGTTAAGTGAATCTGGCTTCCCCCACTGACTTTGCTTGTCAGAAGGTCGCAAAAGGGGATCACGTGACCCCGGGACTCTGCAACGGTCATAAATATGAGTCACCTGCCAAGTGTCTGAATTTTGATCCCGTGACCGTGCGGATGCCGCCATGGTTGTAAATATGAAAAAAAAACATAAGTCACTTTTTTCCATGCTGTTTTAACTTTGTACGGTCACTAAATGAATTCTTGTAAGTTGAGGACTGCCTGTATTTCAAACTTAGGTTTACAAAAGATGTTTTGCGAAAAATAATTAAACTGGAAAATAGTTCAGACAATGAAATACGGCTGAAGCATAAAGAAGAGTTGTGAATTTCCTAGCAAGATGGACCGATCTCACTTTTGTTTGATGCCCATTTCTTTTTTTAATTCACCTGCAGCTCCTGCTTGCCGGATGCAGCCAGTCTCTCCTTTGGGGATCCTCTCCCTCGTCCTCAACATCATGTGTGGGGCACTCAACCTTATTCGAGGGGTACATCTGGCAGAGTATTCATTGCAGGTAACGGGGCTGCTGATTTGGGGGCAAGGAGAGTCAGCTTGGGCTAGTGGTGAAGGTGCAGGCCTAGAATCCAGGAGCCTGTGAGTTCTAGTCCCGTCTTAGGTCTAAAAGCTGTCTGGTTTCACTTTGGGCCAGTCACCAGGAGAATGTGAGTTCTAGTCCTACCTTAGACATGAAAGACAGCTGGGTGACTTTGGGCCAATCACCAGGAGATTGTGAATTCTAGTCCCTCCTTAGACATGAAAGCCGGCTGAGTGATTTTGGGCCAATCACCAGGAGATGGTGAGTTCTAGTCCTGCCTTAGACATGAAAGACAGCTGGGTGACTTTGGGCCAATCACCAGGAGATGCTGAATTCTAGTCTCGCCTTAGGCAAGAAAGCCAGCTGGGTGACTTTGGACCAATCAGGAATTCTAGCCCCACCTAAGCCCCACCCTCCACCCCTGAGGTACCCTGTGCTCCACTTAACAACCTGTACAGTTGCTTAACTACCACATCGGGGAGCACAGGGATGGTGGTCTTTAAATTAGATGATCCACAGTCCACCTCAGTTAACAACTGTCACAACGTGCGACCCGAACAGGCAGGCTACATTATCGTCCGGAAGTTGAGGACTGCCTGTAGCTAATTTGGATTCTGCCTTAATGGCGCCAACGTGACTGCTTAAAAAAAAGTGAAAAAACAGTATCTTTACGTTTCAGTTGATCTGTTTTTCGTTTTTCAATTTGACCTTGAAATTCATCTTTGGATTCTAATTTGACCCTCAAATTCATCTTCCCCCTAGGAAGATCACCAAGAAATTGGAAACATCATAGCGTTTCTGCTGCCTTTCATGTCCTGCTTCGGTTTGGTGAGCAACTTACATATTTTCTGTTTCTTTGGGGTTGAAAAGTGACTTAAAAGTGGCTCCTGCCTCAGCAACTTTCTGCAATGCTTTGATTGATCACAAAGGTGCGTTTCTTTTTTTTTTTTGTTATTTCAATAGGCAAGTGGACTGTTTTTTAATTGAGGAAGAAGTTTTGCTTCTTATCCAAGAAGCTTCATCAGTTTTTTTTTATATATTTTATATAAAGTGCATCAGAAGTTTCTTGGATGAAAAGCAAAGTGTTTTCTCCCTCAAATAAAGAACAGTCTACTTACTTTTTTAAGAGAAAAAAAGGCCCTTTGAGACAACTATAACTCTTAAGATAACCTTGATTGCGATGACATCCAATTTTGGTCGCCACGATACAAAAAAATATATTGAGACTGGAAAGAGTGCAGAGAAGAGAAACAAAGATGATTAGGAGACTGGAGACTAAAACATATGAAGATTTGGGTCGAATTGGGTATGTCTAGTTTAACGAAGAGAAGGACGAGGGGGGACATGATAGCAGTGTTCCAATATCTCAGGGGCTGCCCCAAAGAAGAGGGAGTCAAGCTATTCTCCAAAGCACCTGAATGCCGGACAAGAAGTGACGGATGGAAACTAATGAAGGAGAGAAGCAACCTAGATATAAAGAGAAACTTCTTGACAGTGAGAACAACTAACCAGTGGAACAACCTGCCTCCAGAAGTTGTGGGTGCTCCAACACTGGAAGTTTTTAAGAAGAGACTGGACAGCCACTTGTCCAAAATGGTATAGGGTTTCCTGCCTGAGCAGGGGGTTGGACTAGATGACCTCCAAGGCCCCTTCCAACTATTATTATTCTGCTATATTGCATTTGTGCCCTGCTTACTTAACAGCTGTTTTTTCTTTTCCAAAACATATTTTTGCAGTGTTACCTCTACTTATTCTACACTTCCGCCCGGAAGATCAAAGTCTTCATCCTGTTTGCGACAGTCTGTCTCTGCAACGTCTACCTGTACGGATTACGAAACAACTGGCAAATCCTCTTCCACATCGCCGTTGCGTCCCTTTCTTCTCACCAGATCCTAACCCGGCAGGTGGCTGAGAAACAGCCGGATTTAGGGGTGTGAAAAAGGACTCCCTGCATCCCAAGCGGGATGTTTAAAAAAAAAAGTCTCAGCATTGAGGGAAATTATTCTAAAGGAGCTCTGAGCAAATTGACTCGTAAGTTTGGGTTTTTTTCGCCCTTGCTCAAAATAATGCATTTTAGCAAAAAGAAAAACACTATTTTTTTTTGTTTTGACCTGACAGGCAGGAAAGAAAATATCCATCTTAAGGAAGGAAGCTTGCAATCTTTTTAGATTAATTTATTTAATCCAAAAAAAGGACCGCAGGATGTGCGTGCTGAAAAAGACTCTCGCTGCTCTGAGTTCTAGCAAAAATTCAAGAGTTTTAGAGGCTGCCGTCCGATTTTTCCGTCCGATTTTTTTTTTTTTTTTTTTGCGAGCGGAAAGCAAATTCAGAAATCCACATCCACCGCTGATAATCTGGGAAAAATCAACCTGGAAAATCAGTATGCACTGGAAACTCCTATAAGCTCTGTCCAAGATAAGCTTCGGAACGTGGTTGCAACCCACTGTGGGATCCCTCAAAGTTTAAAGCACAAGATTCTTTACCAAACAATTGAGGTTTTTTTTTTATACACATACAATTAATTGTAATATTATTTGGGAGAGGATAATTGTACTATTATTGGGAAACTGACTTTTGAATCGTGTTTGCATTAGGCTAAGTTGTAGATAAATCTATTTATATTGAGTTTGGGCAGAGGAGGCAGCAGCCTTGAAAAATCACGGATTGGTGAAGGTGCCTTGAGAGAGAACGTCCTGTAAAAATTTCCTGTACATAGCCCGTTCCTTGTTTTGAACTAAAACAACAACAACAACCAGCCTTGATTACACGATTTCACATTGATAACGGCATTTTTTTTAAAGAATTTTCTCATGTATCTAGATTTCAGTCGAGTTTCTACACACGGGTGCTTACAACCATAGGTTTACAGCATGGATAATAAGAGTAAAAGTCTACTGAATATTATGTTCTTCTTAAAGTTATTTTTTCCAATCTGACTGAGTGGGATGAATTTTTGTTGCAAGCAACCGGTAATTTATAATGGCGTGCCCTCCTAAGCAGAGGATCCGCTGAGTTGAATTCAAATGCTGCTGTATTTCCCTGAAATTAAGACCCTGTTTTACTTTCTTTTGGGCCCTGAAGTAAGCACAAAGATTTACTTTCGGGGGGGGGGGGCTTTTGCCGCTACTACGGGGTGGGGCAGGGTGCATGGGGTGGAGAAGCAACGTGGTGGCGAGAGCCAGGTATGGTACCGGTGAGTGGGTGGGAGGACAGTGCATGCCCTTCCTGTGCCAGCCCAGCCCCTGGGCAGGCATGCTGGATGGCAGCGGGAAGCGTGCTGAGATGGGGCTCACCAGGCCGACCAAAGCGGCAGGTGGAGCACTGGAGGCTCAGGGAGGGAGGGTGGTGAAGCGGGTGGGCTTCCTGCCGTCAGCACCCATGCCGGCTGCCCCTTCCCTGTGGAACCGGAGAGCTTGGCACACCACCACCCAGATGCCCTCACTCCGCCCAGGAATTGCATTTCTTTCCTTACCCAACTCCCAGCCCCGTGCCGTTTCTCCTTTGTGATCCGCCTCCGCCGTGTGCAGGAAAACAAAAGTGTTTTTTTGGGGGGGGGGAATGTCCATCAATCAATTCCAACTTCTCGTTAAAAAAATCTCGCAAAGTTGGAATTGATTGATGGATCTTTTTTACCGCCACCCCCCAAAAAATTCTTTTGTTTCCCTGCAAGCAGTTTGGAAACGGACGGGAAAAATCGTTTTTTTCCCTCCACGTTTTTTCCCCCAGGGCTTCCCATCTCCCGTTAGGGTTGGGGGGCAGTGGGGGTTAGAGTTAACGAACGGTAGGCCTGGCAGAGGCATTGGGCACGACACGCGAAGTGGCAAACAGCTGCGTTGTGCCCAAACCGGCTGTTTGTCACCTCCTGCCCAATGCCGCTGCCATGAGGCCGCGGAACAAGCCAGGCAGCGGTAAGAAACCGGTATAATGGCATGTGGGTCAGGAGGGGGGAGGATCCGCCAGGCCTCATGGTAGCGGCATTGGGTGTGGCGCATGAGGCGACAAACAGCCACGTCGCGCCAAACCCGGCCGTTTGCCTCTTGCCCAATGCCGCTGCCATGAGGCTGCGGAACAAGCCAGGCGGAGGTAGGGAACCGGTATACCGGTATCGTAGGTCAGATCCCCCTCCCCCACAGAGGCAGGCCGTCCATGCAGGCCCTTAAGTAGGGCTTACTTTCAGGAGGAGGGTTTATATTAGGCCCACCCCCTGAAAAACAGCCGGCGCTTGCTTTCAGAGGTGGGTTTACTTTGGGGAAACACAATACTAAACCTCATGGCAAGGAACACGAGATTGATGATATTACCCAGCTGGGTCATGAAATGTCTGCAAGAAGCATCCAAGCTCAGGGAGCACCGAGGACCCCACAGTCGTTGTCCTCTCCACACACACACACCCCTTTCTAGCACTGATGATGTTACCTAGTTAGGTCATGAAATGTCTGCAAGGAAACCACCAAGCTCAGAGAGAAATAATGACTTCACAGTCACAGACTTCACAATGACTTCTTCCTCCTCCTCCTCCTCCTCCTCCCAGCAAACCCCTTCTAGCACTGATGACGTTACCTAGTTAGGTCATGAAATGTCTGTAGGAAAACCACCAAGCTCAGAGAACACCAAGGACCCCACAGTCTATTTCCTCCTCTTCCTCCTGCTCTTCCCCCACTCCCTTCTAGCACTGATGATGTTACCTAGTTAGGTCATGAAACGTCTGCAAGGAAACCACCCAGCTCAGAGAGCACCAAGGACCCCACAGTCCTTCCTCCCCCTCCTCCTCCCCCCTCCTCCTCTTCCTCCTCCTCCTCCCTTCTAGCACTGATGATGTTACCTAGTTAGGTCATGAAACGTCTGCAAGGAAACCACCAAGCTCAGAGAGCATCAGGGACCCCACAGTCCTCCTCCCTCCCTCCCTCAGGTCATGAGATACCTTCAAGGATATCCAACCAAGCTCAGAGAGGGCCTTGCACACTCCACACTTGACCAGGGTAAACGTTAACAGAATAATAATAATAATAATAATAATAATAATAATAATAATAATAATAATAATAATAATAATAATAATAATAATAATAATAATAATAATAATAATAATAATAATAATAATAATAATAATAATGTTGGAAGGGACCTTGGAGGTCATCTAGTCCAACCCCCTGCTCAGGCAGGAAACCCTACATCATTTCAGACAAATGGCTGTCCAGTCTCTTCTTAAAAACCTCCAGTGTTGGAGCATTCACCGCTTCTGGAGGCAGGTAGTTCCACTGGTTAATTGTTCTAACTGTCAGGAAGTTTCTCCTTAGTTCCAGGTTGCTTCTCTCCTTGATTAGTTTCCATCCGCTGCTTCTTGTCCTGCCTTCAGGCGCTTTGGAGAATAGCTTGACTCCCTCCCTTGAGTTATGCACACAACCAGTTCTTGTTCTCACAGTCTCTTGCACCACAGTGGCCAATGCTACTTCTTGGATGTCCCAGCATAGATAAGTTCCATAACAGAGGTAGGCTTTACTCTTTAATGAAATACAGATAGTCTTTGACCAGGGGGGCGTTTTATCAGGTTCGCCTGATTCACCAGTTGCGGCCTTTTCTGGACCGGGACGCCTTGCGCACAGTCACTCATGCTCTGGTCACCTCCCGCCTGGACTACTGTAATGCTCTCTACATGGGGCTTCCCTCGAGGAGCACCGGGAGGCTCCAGCTAGTCCAAAATGCGGCCGCGCGGGCGGTGTTGGGAGGGACTCGTCGCTCCCACGTAACACCGCTGCTGCGCGAGCTGCATTGGCTGCCGGTGGCCTTCCGGGTGCGCTTCAAGGTGCTGACTATCATCTTTAAGGCGCTCCATGGCAGCGGACCAGGATACCTTCGAGACCGCCTTCTGCCACAGATNACTGGCCTAGGGTAATTTTTAAGAGGGGTTTTTAGAGGAGTTTTTAATTATATTTTAAATTAGACAAGTTAAATATTTCATTTTAATTAATTTTAAATTTTGTGTTGTTATTGGTGTTTTTAATTGATTGTCAGCCGCCCTGAGTCCGCAAGGAGAAGGGCGGGATATAAATTCGAACAATAATAATAATAATAATAATTTAGAGCAGTTCGTTTAATGACCATTTCCAAGTTACAAGGGCACTGAAAAAAGTGACTTAACGACCATTTTTCGGACTTATGACCATTGCAGCATCTCTGTGGTCACGTGATTAAAATTCAGATATTTGACAACCGGCTCTTATTTGCGACAGTCGCAGTTCCCCGGGGTCACGTGGATGGGAGACCACCGAGTGATCCCAGGACTACGAACTGGCTGGAAAAGGAAGGGAAAGCAATCACGTGATTCCCCTTCTGTGGTCTTCCGACAAGCAAAATCAATGGGGAAGCCAGATTCAGTTAACGACCGTGTTACTAACTGAACAACTGCAAAAATTAACTTCATAACCGTAGCGGAAAAGGTCGTAAAATGAGGCTAAAATCACTGAACCGCAGTGTTGCTTAATAACAGAAATGTTGGGCTGAATTATGTTCTTAAGTCGAGGACTCCCTGTACTGTTTTTATCCTCAAATTATGACCATTCATTCAGCAACTGCTCAAAGTTATGACCGTGCTGAAGGAAGGGACTTACGATCAATCCTCAAAGTTTGAAAAGATTTTACGAGAAGCGCTTTTGGGTAATGGAAAGAAAGATTTGGGTAGCATTGAGTTAAATCTATAATTTCCCAATTACACATGACCCCGGGACACTGCGACCGTCATAAATATGGATCAGTTGCCAAGTGTCCCAATTTTGATCACGTGACTGAGGGGAGGTTGCAATGGACGTAAGTGTGAAAACTGATTGTTAGTTCCTTTTTTTCCTGATGCCGTTGTTTTTCAAACGGTCACTAAACAAACGTTTCTAAGTCAAGGACTGTCTTTTAACATTTTTCTTTAGGAAATGCAACATGGTTTTTATCTTCTACTGTGTATTTTTAAAAGAAACGTATCCCTGT